AAGTAAATAAAGCTGGCAAAGTATTTTTATTGCAACTTGATGAATGCACTGGTATTAGTAGCCTGATAGTTATTTTATCATATGTGTGATTTCAGAGTGACAGTGATGTGAAGGAAGAGTTATACTTTCAACACTTTTGCTGACAAACCCAACTGACACTGAACTATATATAAAACTATGAAGGATACAATATCAACCAATGTAGTTTAGAGTTTAAGTTTGGTATAAAAGTATGTTCTAATGGAACAGTGATAGGTACAGGTAAACCTGCAGTAGCTACCAAGATTATAAGGAACTTACATCAGAATGTAAACCAAAAATCTTGCAATGAAATATAAAAGTCTGCTAAATTGAATAATATGTTTAGTGCTACAGAAAGAATGTGGAATTATAAAAATTAATGTGTTAAATTCAAGATTATTCTCTTTACTGCCAAATGAAGAATTATGGTTATTATGGGGAAAAGCTCTATTGAGATGTTTAAATGATGGGATGTACTTTTAATGTTTCTGAAAAATAATAAATCTTTTGACCCCACTTTTTAAGGGTGTAAATTGGATAGACATACTCTCTTATTTGACCATATTTGGTATTCTTAATACTTTCATGCAAATGCTTTTCAATAGTGGAAACATTTTAGAGGTACATATAGAAGTTGGAAGTTTGGAAAATCAGAGTTTCTTCATAATATTATGACATAATTCATAAAATAACAATAGTTTTTAATAAAATAAGTGATGAGCTATATATTATGCATCTGCAATATATATATAAATTTAATAAAATGTTTTGAATTTTATTTTCCATCAAAACAAAATTCACACAAAGATTTTTAAATATTTAGATTCTATTTCTTTCATTGAAAGATCATTTGGCCCTGGCCAGATGGCTCAGTTGGTTGGAGCATGGTCCCATACACCAAAAGGTGGCAGGTTTGATTCCTGGTCAGGGCACATACTTAAGTTGCAGGTTCGATTCTTGGTCAGGGAGCATTCAGGAAACAACTGATCTCTCTCTTTTTCTCTCTCTCTCCCTCTCTCTCTCTAAAAAAAAGACAAAACAAATAAACAAAAAAACCCCACATATCTTTGGATGAGGATTCAAAAGAAAGATATTTGAATTTAACTATAAAAATATAAGATAGATTGTTGGAAGTGGCTACTAATAAGCATTGAACATGACTAATAAAAACATAGCTTTGCTTGCCTAATTTTTTAAATTGTCTAAAGTTTTACATATGTCTCCTTTTTCCCCAATTGATGCCCCCCCCCCCAGCCATTCCCACTGTTTGCCTAATTTTAAATAAAAGATAAAAATAAATGTTCTTAAAATGATGAAATTATTTTAGAATTATTTCTGCCATTTCTATTAATAGAGCTTTGTGAAACAGATTTGTCTAGTATTTATACTAGGAAAGCAACACCTAACCAAACAAACACACAGAAATGATTCAATTATAAATTAATGCCTACAAGTAGCATTGTCATGAATCCAAACTGTTAGATAAATTAACAAGAAAGATGCAAGTTTATTTGATACATTAAAAATGTCTAAATGCGATATACATGGTATTGCTTTAAAAAGTATGAGATTTTTACTATCCACTTACAATTTCTGTTTAATTAAAAAATGACAAAATGTCATGATATAACTTGAGTTCTCTACATTAATCACCTACATGCACACTTTCAAGAAACATTATGTACCATTTTTGTAAGTCTTTCATTTTTTCTGTGTTTATTTGGGTTATAGTTTTGTAATATATTTTATGCCTTTTGAATATAGTAATAGAAATAAGATTGTATGTGCTACCGTTATTTTTAAATTTTATTTTTCTAGTTATTTATTTCATTGTATTTTGTGAAAGTATTAATCTATAGTTTTTGTGAATTAAAAAAGTGGTTCTTCTTCATTGATAGTTTGAGAAAAACTTATCTAAAGGCCTTTCCCTACATTTACACATATATGTACATCCACATTTGTTATCCAATGGTTGCCTTCTGCAGAAAAAAATAAGCTAGTGTTGATTGTACTATGAATCTTCCTTCACTCTCTCTTCTGCATGTCCCCCAAAGTTAAGACTTGGAAATAAAATAGTGAAAAGCATAAATAAATAAATAAATAAATAGCCAATCTGAATATCCAGTCATATCACATTCTTGAATTAAATACTACCAGAAATAAAGCTCCTATTTTTATATCCATCTGTCTGCCTCCTATGCCTATGTTACAATTAGTTTGCAACAGGAAGTAGAGAATGTGTGATTAATTATTAGCTTTCAAGTGCCAACAATAGCACCAAGCTATGAGACAGTTCACAGATCTTATCTACTGATATTTTGGTCAGTTCCCTACATCCACTGAAGACTAGGTTTTAGCTCCCACATTTTTCACTGCCCAACCCATACAACTCCCTGAACAATGCCATCATCACTAGAGATGGTTTCCCCCATCAACCTGGACTTGCAGATCTTTGAAACACATGGTTTCTCACCCAGTCTCAGGCAATCCCCTCTGGTGGCAGGTTCTGTTCCTCTTATTCTTGGAGCTCAGAGTTTTTGTGCTATTCTAGATAATCACAGAAATGAACTCCTCCAGTAAGCTTCCCTTGACTCCAAGAAATGGTTGATTAGGCTTCAATTGTGCTTCCCTAATTCTCTACCCCAGTCATTGCAAATGTAAAATAATCTGAATAAATCTACATGTGAATTTCCTCCTTGGGCTAAACGATAAACCTCTTGATTGTTTGCAGCAGGTGTACTTGCTTTACATCTCTACTCCCAGTTGTATGCATTTTCTTTTATATAAGAGGTGCTTTGTGAATGCTCCTGGACTACAATGATGACATAAATTACTTGTAAATTTATTTCAATAATATAAGCTCAAAAATGGCAAAACAAGCCATTAAAAACCTCCAACTGCCTCTTTTCTTCTAAGGCAAGTGTTATAAATCTGTTTTGTTACTCATATTAAATACCCCTACATTATTCTTCTGAACACAATAACTATATCTAATTGTCGTTGGCATATGGCATTAGCATATATGTAATAACTGGTCTAGGTACAAAGTGCAAGTATCTGGCCAAGATGGGGCAAATGAGATGTCAGAGTGAGTGTGGCTAAAGATCTAAAGAATGGTTAGATGTGGGACATCTAGAAGAGAGGGTATGAGGAACATATTCACGATCCCTACTTCTTATAGAATAGAGTTAGTTCTAAAATATTGGGATGGGAAGATAAGTCAATTATCTTATTGATAGGGTCTTACTAGCTTATATCTAATATAAGAGATGTGGAATTCACAACAAGGAAAATATATAGGATGAGGCAATTTATGTGTGAGAAAATTACCTGCTGATTTTTGTATAATTATTCTTTTTGAATCTGAACCAAAACATGTAATTTCATTCATGGTCTAACAATGGGACAGAATTTTGCAACCAGTCACACCAGAAAGAGTCATTGCAAGCTATGGTAGTAAATTTAAACTTGAAGGAAGAACACTAATCTGTTTTCTTCTCCCATAAATAGTAAAGGGGAGGGAGCACTTTATTTTATTTTATTAGTTTTTTCAGTTACAGTTGACACTCAATATTAATTTTAGGTGTACAGCATAGTGATTAGATGTATACAACTTACACTGATCACCTTGATAAGTCTAGTGGATACTATACATAGTTATTGTAATATTATTGACTTCATTCAGTGTGTTGTGGAGTAGGAGAGTTTTAAATGGTAATGAGGGCTCAGATATAAACGTGATGTGTCCTAGATGAGAAAGACTGTGGTAATTAGTAAATACACTAACATAACAACTAACATTAGAATAGCATTTTAAAATCTGCAGAGCATATTCATCTATAGTGTTTTTTTTTAATCCTAGTATTGATTCCCTGAGGTAGGAGAGCAGGTAATGAAATTTATAAGGAAGATCATATATAAAAACTGAGATATAGAGTTACCAGCATAGAGTCCACAAAGCCAGGTAAATAAATGAACTCTCCTGGGCAGGGTAGAAAAATAATAACAGATAACTGGGCCAAAGACAGGGATTGGAGGAGGAAATGGAGACAGTGCAAGAGACAATCCCTTCCTTTGTTGTTTTTCTAGGTATAAGCTTTGATGGAAGCCACTGGTGCATGTCGGTGAATAATCAAGGGTTTGAGTTCCTACCAGAATGAAAGATGTATGTACTTTTAAATTATCTCGGTCCAAACTCTATTTATTTATTATTCCTTCAGTAAACTTTAAAAATATCAGCTGTTGGCCAATTCACATTCTCAGCAAAATGGAAATAACCACAAGAGAATAAGAGATAATCTCTTTGGATATTTGTGAGCATTTTTAGCAAGTTGGCACAGAAAGCAGAATCCTTGGTTAGTCAAATGTGGCTTAACTTAAGACAACTAGAGTTCACAAAAACAATAAAAAACAGACTCTGGTATTTTTTTGTCTTCCTGTAGAGTCTGATTTCACAAGAGTGAAGCTGCATTGATGCACTGGGAATATCACTGAAGGAATATCACTGCGCTGGGGGGTAAGAGATTCTTGCCAGAAGCCAATTCCAGCATGTCAGCAAGGGCTGAATCATCTGGGAATGGCTGATGGCATTTCCCAAAACCTGAAAGGGATGCATAAATTGATATCTTGCTGCCAGGCAGCTCAGGGCATTTTAATCTACATGTTATTGCCTCCTACTGACCAAACACCTGAACAGCTGGAGGCATTTCCTCAAATCTGACAATGGACTCTGTGTAGGAAACCTGACCCTTTGAAGTGTATATCTCCACCTCGCCTTCGGACAAATTGTGTTAATAAAAAGCATGGGGTCCTGAGACTACGAGATCTTAGTTCCTTTTAGCTAAGCTCCTCTGACCCCCAAATGCCTTTGAAAATTATATTTTGTCTCTGGACACTCTTACTTAAGTTACACACAGCCTTTCTCCAGATTGCTGAACCCTTCTTGATGCCGGAACAAGAACTCTGGCATTAATGGCATCCCGAACTGAGACTTCCTGAACCCTTGCAGCACCAACGGATTCTATTCTGTCTAACTCCACATGTATGACTTCTTACTGTGTGCCTTGGAAAAGCCATTCTCACTATATTCTGTGGTCTTCAGTTTCTTCTTCCAAGAATGAGATTGGCTGATTCCATTCCCACAGGATCTGGCCCTGCTCCTCTTCACCCCTCATCTCATATTCCCATCTCACACTGCGCCAGACACACCAGCCTCTTCTGTCTTTCATTCATGTCACCTGTCTCCAGCCCTGGGTCTCTGCATTCTCTAGTCTCTCTGCCATTGTTATCCTCATCCAGTTTTAGTGCACCACTTTACATAGCTTTATTTCTTATTGGTTATATTACTATTTTAAACAATGAATGTATTTATTTTCCTGCTCATGTGTTACTCTTCCCAGAATATAAGCTCCATAGAAACAAGGCAGATCCTCTTTCATTATTATTGACCTCATATTCTGAATCCTTAGAGTAATGTTTGGAATATAGTATCTACTCAATAAATAATTTCCAGATGATATATATATTTTTAAATTTGTTGGCAGTACTCTATAACTTTTTTTATCATAGCATATAGTATTTGCTCACTTCTAATGCTTGTGACATTTGGATGCACCTGACCGTGAATGTTATTTTATTACAGTGTTGCCCTCCTCATCCCCTTCCTCACTGCAGAAGTGTGTCTTGTAATTGTGTCTTACAATCAAGAAAGTACATTCTATAGATAAGAACTCCACTAGTCCTCTGGACAATGGAGTGCATTTTTAACTTCAGTGTTCAAATGAACTACCTTGAAGTCTCATCTATGTATAATGAGGAAGGAGAAAGAGGTTTTTTTAAGCACCCACAATGACAAATCCAGTTCTTTGCCTAGATCTCCAATTATTTTATGTCCAACTAGGGAGCTCATTTTCTCAATGTGTCTTGGAGCCTGGAAGCTACTCTCCTCTCCCAGTACCAGTGCCAATACCCCTGGCATTGATAAATATACTACTTCTCTCCTTTCCATTACAACACTGCTGATAGAAATCATAGCTTATAGCAAATTGTACTGAAAATGTTTTGTGTGCAGGGGGATGGGATACTTAAAGGGATTTACAATGAAGCATAAGATGGAAACTAATTAGAATAAAATATTATTATAAATATCCTAAATCCATCTACTAATCCCCTAAATAAGAAATTTCTGATTGATATTTTTACTTTTAGTCTCTGTTCTTCAGTGTGTCTATCTCATTTAACACATTTTCTTTCTCCAAAACTGTAAGTCTCAATTTTCAATTTTTTTTTTCATTTGGAATAACTCAGCTCTGTATTTTCATCTCCTTTTTCCTGATCATATCTAGTAAAATTTCCACAAGCAAACAACTCATCAAGTAATTTTTCTACATAGAATCATCTCTCCTATAGAGGTCATACCATTTTCTTGGTATGCAAAAGTGCCTGCAGGCAGTTCTTACTTTCAATAGTGTTTGCTTTTATAAGTCTTGCTACAATAATACACTATACACTTATCCTAACTTTTCTATTGTGCATTATTCTATACCTTTGGTAGAAAACAAAAGTATGACCTTATCTCTGATCTGTTTGGTCTTCACTCCATAGACAATGGGGTTGAGTGCAGGTGGAATAACTATATAGAGGTTGGCAAACATGATGTGGAAAGTACGTGAAACATTATGTCCAAAGCGATGAGCGAGGATGGAGAAAAAGGCAGGTGTATAAAACATGAGGATGACACAGACATGGGAACCACAGGTACCAAGTGCCTTCTGCCGGGCAGCTCTGGAAGGGAGGCGAAAAACAGCACAGAGAATAAGAGCGTAAGAAATGGCAATGAGAATCACATCTGAGATGACTGTCATGATGGGAACACAAAAGCCATACCAGATGTTGATGGAGATATCAGCACAGGCCAGTCGGGCCACACCTATGTGTTCGCAGTATGTGTGGGGTATGATGCGTGTCCGACAGAAAGGCAGGCGTGTGAGCAAAAATACATCTGGCAAGATGATACAGAAGCTTCGAAAAGAGATGCCCACAGCAATCTTGATGATCATCTTTGGGGTCAAGATAGTGGTGTATCTTAAGGGAGAACAGATGGCCACATAACGATCAAATGCCATGGTCATCAGGATGGCTGAATCCAGGACAGAGCTATAGTGGAGGAAGAACATTTGTGTGAGGCACCCTGGGAATGTAATTTCTCGAGCCCCAAGCCAAAAGATACTGAGTGTTTTAGGAACACCAGCTGTGGACAAGATGAGGTCAGTCATAGCCAGCATGGAGAGAAAGAAGAACATGGGTTGGTGAAGGCTACGCTCCACAGCGATGAGGTAGAGAAGGATGCAGTTTCCCACCACAGCCACAATATAGATGATACAGAAGGGAATCCCAATCCACACATGGGATTGCTCCAGGCCTGGAATCCCCACCAGGATGAAGGGTCCTGGGTTGTAACTGCTCAGGTTGAAAGTGATCATGACAGGTCAAGATGTCCCGGATCCTGAGGACAGAGGGTGGTAGAAGATAGTTAAGGGTCACTTGGGTCACTCTCACCTGCAACCATTCATCATTATCAATTCCTAAAGATAAACTGATCATATAATTTATCATCCTAAATAGGAATGTTAGACGTGAATAAAGGTTTATATCATAATAATGGCAGGTAAACCACGATTGTCTTAGATGTATTTGGAATGTATGATTGTTCTACATAAAGAGAATATCTTCTCTTTTTTCCTGCTGATTTAAACATAGTTTGCATGACTTTATGGACATTATTGGTTAAGATCTGCTTGTCTGTCATTGTGGAATATCAATCTCTGCCTCAGGACAATTACTCATAACTACCTGGTGACTGTGGCTCTTAGGTTTGTAAGGTCAACAACCCCTTATTGCCATTCAAAAACCTAAGTCAGCTTAAGAAACACTAGCTGAGTTCCAACAGTATGCTGGATAACTCAGGGTTGTTGTTTTTTCCAGTTGTTTAAAAAACATTTATTTGGAATGTGGCATTTTTTAACAAAATAAAATAAAAATAGTCATTCTCAGAAACAAATCTCTTTATAAAGTTAGTAAATTGGTGATTATATATACTTAAGAAGTCACAAGTAAACATTTTGTTGTTTTTATTTTTTTTGCCTTTTTTAATTTTATTGTTTAAAGTATTATAAGTAGTATTACATATTCTTTTTGCCCCATTGATCTCCTACCGACCTCCCCTCCCCCCCCCCCCCCCCCACACACACACATGCCCTCACAACCCCTGCCCCAGTGTCTTGTGTCCATTGGTTATGCTTATATGCATGCATACAAGTCTTTTGGTTAATCTCTTACCCCCCCTCCAACCCTCTTCTACCTTCCCACTGTAGTTTGACAGTCTGTTCGATGCTTCTTTGCCTCTGTGTCTATATTTGTTCACTGTATCTATATGGCATTTATCTTTCACTGACTCGCTTATAACTCAGTTTTAAATTAGAAACATTTTCTATAGCTGAGGTTGGTGAGCTCTTGCTCTTGCTCATGCAAAATAATAAAAATTAAAAATTGTTTTTCAGAACCCTATATGCTATACAGCTGTATAACAATCTAATCTTTTGGACTTAATGGCACTAGTAGTCAAGATTGCTGTCCGAAAGAAGGATTGTTTCCTTGTCAACACATATTCTTGAAATAGACGATAGACTCCCAGTACACATACTTTCTCAGATACAGGCACATACTTAATACTTACAACCCCAAACATACTATGAACTATATTTACATTCTCTCATACATTTTACCATCATATGTTTACCTTACATTATCTTTCACAAACATAAACAACCCTTCCTCTCTCTCTCCCTCTCTCTCTCTCACACACACACACTCACACATGCATGCACACATACACACACACACATGCACACACCAGACATATGCACTGCACACACACACACACACACCAATGAAATCACACCAGACACATATGCACTGCACACACACAACAATGAAATCGTAATCAAAATATTCTATGATTGGATTTTGGATTTTGGCACTTCCATTGCTATGTAACAACTGCCCAAAACCTTTACTTGAAAAATTTCACTTTTAAAGACTAATCCCCAATACCTGCTTTCTTCTCAAATACATAGAACACTATTTATAATCTTCAGATAACAAACTGTACAGCAAGGCCAGGGGTTCCCAAGATCAGAACTAAGAGGAAGCTTATGATGGCCATATGCCTCAGATTCCAAATCTGACAATGACATAACTCATCTTCAACCTTATGTCTACCCCTATTTTGAATCTCATTCTTAGGTCCAGCTCACCATACCTTCCATCTCCCAGACCAATACTTAATTTCTCCAGTCTTCTGCTTTGCCAAATGAGGAACAGGTTGCTCTTTTCGTTTCTTTTCTTTTCTTTTCTCTTCTCTTCTCTTCTTTTCTTTCTCTCCTTCTCTTTCTCTTCTCTTCTGTCCTTTTCTTTTCTTTTCTTTTCTTTTCTTTTCTTTTCTTTTCTTTTCTTTTCTTTTCTTTTCTTTTCTTTTCTTTTCTTTTCTTTTCTTTTCTTTTCTTTTCTTTATGACCGTCCCTTATCTATAAATACAAACACTTTTCTTACAGCAACTCAAAACCTTCCTCTACTGTGTCTTCATAATTCAGAGGTTCTAGGTTCTGGGAACACAGCTCAGAGTTCAGGCAGTGGGCCAAGCAGTCCAGTCTCCGTCTGCTGAATATCTGTGTTCTCCAATTTAGCTTCACATTGGCTCTCTTGTCCATTTGGGTTCCTGCACTCATCTATTGCCAACAGCAAAGATCTGATTGGGTTGTTGAAACCTCTCTTCTGTGCTCCTTATTTACTCCAACAACATATGGCATCAGCCCCCTAAAATTATATATTTTGAATCATAGCTCTTCCAGCTTGTCTGAGGTCATCCTTCTTTTATACACATGTGAAGAAGTCTTTTCTAGCTTTTATATTTTTATGCACTCAGATGCAATAGATGTTTACACAGTCATTCAAAAGTACATACAAACATACATGGGCACACGTAAAGAAAGATAATCTGAAGTTTATCATTCTACAACAAATTCACAACGTGGGCCAATCTACATGACAGTCTGATTTTGCAATAAGTCAATAACATTAAAAAGAGATGGGGCTTAAATGAGGAAAATGCAATTCTTGACTGGATTCTGATTAAATAAGCCAGGTATAAAAGAAAAATAGTGTATAATTGAGTAAATTTAAATATGAAGTAGGTATTAGATGATATGAAGTAATTAGTATTATTTTTATTAAATGTGATTATGTTATTATGATATACACACACATACACAATTGCCCACAGTATCTTAATAAAATATTGGCAAAGAGTATGTGTTCTGGAGCCAGAAAAGTAGGCACTTTAATACCAGTTCCATAATTGACTGGCTGTGTGAACTTGGAACTTGGGCAAGCTTACTTGAACTATATGATCCTTGGGCTCCTCATTTTCAAAAAGGGACCAATATTTCTAATTTTTGCTGTTATTATTAAGATGAAATAAGACACTCTCCAAAACCACATTTTAGTGTAGTACCTGGCACATAATAAGCATATAATTTTTACTTATTTTTATTAGATTATATTTTATATCATCAGTATTATTACTAGAAGTTAAACCACAGAGTGAAAAAAAGAATCAAAATAGACAGATGCATAAAAACTAAGGGCACCCCTGGGCACACACAAACCCAGACTTAATTCCACTCTTAAGTTAGGGCTACGGGTCCTTGTCAGATGTTTGATAGAGAAATTGCCTGACAACTTACAATGGCAATTCTTAACCCAACTATATAATTGTCCATTTATTCTAATCTTTTGAGTCCCATTGATGGAGCATATACAAGTACTGGAGAGCATGCTCTTGGCTTATAGTTGGGAGTTGCTCAAGAAAGAAAGCTATAGTACTTAGTTCCTGGCTCCTAGAAAGTGAGACGCAGAGTTTTTCATTCCCTCCCCATTTCTCTCCAAATCTGAGTCCAAACAACATCCCTGGGAACAGCCAGGGACTCACCTAATCTCCAATAGAGCCAAATAGAGAGAAGAAAGATTGTGCTGACCAGCATACGGAGGATCTACAAGAGGGACAGAGCCACCAAACAAAGAAATAAATGAAGATGAGAGGAAGAGACTGATGGGCAGGTGATTCCCTGCTCATTTATTTTTTCTGGTAACTGCTCAACATAGGGAAGAGGTAGATAGTGAGGGCCTGAGGGACCCTGACTCTCAAGGGAAGAGTATAAAGAAGCTTATGTTAATCCTGCCCACGATTGCGCACTAACATTGCCTCAGGGCGCAGTTTTGGTTTTGCATTTGCGTGTGAGATGATGTGCCTGTGGGTGTGCAGTTGTGTGTGCATGTGTGCCTATCACATCACTAGGTTTTGAGTCCATGCTCTCACTTACTAGATAAAAGATTTTGGACAAGTTTTCTATTAAAGTGTGATCATCTATAATTCCTACCCATTAAGGTTATATAAGGATCGACAAATTAAATAGGACAGAATGTGCGAAAATCAATAACACAGTGCACCCATTAAAATTATTAAATGTCCCACTTCAAGATAGTCAAATATTGTTTTTCAGAGTGAGGCCCCAGGCACTACACTAATAAACTCTACAGTGGAGTCTTATACTGTTTATGTTTCCCTAGAAGACCAGCATATATGTGGATGTAAGCATAAAGCATATGCAGCTCAGCCTCCAGCCCACACTTAGGATTTAATGAGGAAATTGGTACAAATGTGTTTTTGATCAATGCTGAGGTGACCTCTAGTGGAAAAATATAGAATTTATACATTCTAAATTCCAGGTCAAGATAAAAGCAAATAAATAAGCAACCTCCATAGCAAGAGTTCATCGTTTCTGAGAACATTTAATATAGTACACAAATCTAAAGCTCTACATGAAATCACTTCTATAATTCTCTTAACAACCCTATGAAATAGGTAAAACATTTATACAGTTTTAAAGATGTAGAAACTGAGGCAGAGAGATATTAAGTAGCTTACCAAAGGTCACACAATAAGAAAATGGTAGAGCTGAGGATCCAATGTAAGGAGTCCTGTGCATATAACCAAACCTCTCTATAAAGTATGTGGCACGTGGCATGTACACGATATATTGATAGCAAGTGATATAAAATTAAGTCACATAAAGGAAACATAGAAAACTGACTATATGTGACAAATTAGCATCATAAAATCAAGCACATCACTTAGGTTACAATTAGAGATTGTTTGAACTTCCTAACACTGAAGTCTTTTAAAATAAAATCTGATTATATGTTGCTCACCTGGGAAAGATCTAAAACAGAGAGACAAGTGTACTTCAGACAATTTAAAATATAAAGGTGGGATATAAAACAAACTTGTAGACACAGACAATAGTATGGTGGTTACTGGAAGGAAGGGAGTGAGGAATAGTAAAGGGTAAAGGAGGCCAAATATATGATGACAGA